GGTAACTCTAAATGAGCCGTTCTGAGCTAAGGGAAGGACTTTTTCACGATTGAATTTCTTGCAAGTCCTGTTCTCTTTCAAGAGCGTCTAAAAATTTCCATATTGTGGGATGATGTGATGACACTTGCTCTAAAAAAACCCTATTCCATCCTCCAAGAGAGTTATTAGTTCTAGGTAAATTACCATTAACTCTCTCAAAGCAAGACCACATACGTATTTCAAACATAGGTTTTTCGAATAATTATCATTTAGAATAATTGTCCTTTCAAATAATTTCCATTTAAATAATTTACAATTCGAATAAATTTATTTATAATAGTTATTTTCGAACAATTATTTTAGAACAATTTTCTCGATATATAGACTAGGAAGGATCTGAAACGAAAATTCTAATTTAGTCAGAGCCTAAAAGTTTTTCTCTCATACATATTTCTTGCTTAAAGGTCGTAGAATATTAAACGAACTGAACGTTATGGGAAGAAAAATCAGCATAAACTAGTCGAAAATTAATAAGAACATTTATTACTTATATGCGCAGTAAAATTTCGCAATATTTTCTAGAAATGAAGATCTTTGTATTTTTATTCTTTAGTAAACATCTAAGCACAATTTCTTATTGCGAAAAGACAAAAATATTGCCAAGGAAAACATTCGCTGCGTGCACACATACAATCAAAATTCCAACTGCACAAAGAAATGTTCACAAGTCACGTAGCATTATTAAACATTGAAATAAAATGATTGTTCAGACAATGTTCCTAATTTGTCCTATTTCATAAGACTGAAAAAATCAATATTTCCCACCCCTTTTCTTCTTTTCATTACATATTTCATGCATGGGCATATGTAAACTATATTTCTCTTGCGTAGGCATGACGATAAACTGACAGTGATGTCCTCAAATAACCAGCACCCTACTCAGTATTCTTCCAAGACATGGACAGTTTCAGCCCTTCTGATTTCAAATTGTTCCATGCTCGATTTTCTTTTTTTCTTTTTTCTGTGCCGTGTCCTTTCAGGACATAGGCGATCATGGCTCTCCACTTCTCCCTATCTCTTGTAGCTCTCAATAAGTTTCGTGCCCTTACCAACTCCCACAGAGCACATTCTGCCATCCACTTGCTTAAGCCGGCAGGTATGTCATACGTTACATTCCTTTGTCTCTTTTTCCCTTTATTCGACCTGTGAGTATCAGATTCTCCAGGCCATCCTTTCTCATTACGTGTCCCAGAAATTTCACCTACCCCTTATCTTAAGTATAAGCTTCCTCCTTGTTTACATCCTTTCCAAGACCTCATCGTTGATCACTTGCTCGCTCCCTGATATCCTTAGCATTCTTCTGTAGAATTACATGTCCGCTGCTCGAGTCTCTTCTTCATCTTTGAGGAGACCATCCAATATTCTCTGCCGTATAGGAGGACACATGTCACGTAGCAGCTTAGTACTCTTTTCTTCTCAGCCTTTGAGATACATCCTTGCCCATCCCAATTCGTCTTCGGATCTCAGCGTCGCACCTACCGTCCTCCGTTTAAACCTTTCCCACATATTCATACTTCCACACATGCTTGATTTTAGTGTCCCTGACCTGCAAATCGTATTTTGGGCTCATCCTTTTACTGATGACCCTGCATTCTGTCTTTTTGTAGTTTAGGGTTAGTCCCTTCTTCTCGCTCTCCCTCGCTGCCTTCTGTAGGATGTTTTGTACTTTCTTTTCCGCGTCTGCTATCAGTACTGTGTCATGTGCGTATCTTATGTTGGTAAGATTGTGTCCGCCAATGATGAATCGCGGCAGGATCTCCAGATCTTTCACGTGTAGGTTGAATAACAGCATGGAGTATTATGAGAGTCTTGGCGTTGCGTAATTGAGTGAGATAATCAAACTGATAATTACGGTTAAATGTGCGCGATATGGTGACGGGTTTTGATAAAATTAGCACATAACATTCCAAGTAAAGCCCAGTGAGAAATCCCTTCAGATCAGATAGCACAGTCCGCGCAAAGTTCCAAAGTATATAGATATGACTCCTAAGTTACTTTGGCTGCTTCGTCCTAGAAGCTTTAAATAAAAACCCTCTCGACACCTTGCAATGAGGTTACTCCATTACTTCCGCCCATGAACAGAGACACAAGGGAATATTAAGAACGAGGGAACATGTCCAACTGCTTAAGTTCAGGCAACTAACAATCAAATATCTGGTCTGAAACAGTTAGCGATGGGACAGTTTTTTTTTTTTAAAATAGGAACTACAAAGAAACATACTGTCATATAGGAAGAAAATGGTAGCTGCCGAAAGCCGAGGTTCGAGCGTGACACTCTGGACTTATGAATCTGTTTTCCGCCAGCTGTATAGCGGTGTTAGGTGACTGACTACCAGAGTTGACTATTGGTCGGACTACAGTCGATGATTGAGTGAGTACAAAAGTGGACTACGAGTTGATTATTGGTTGATTACCTGTTGAGTGATTATTGAGTGACTCTTGGATATTTAAGCGAGCAGCGCTAAGTGGCTCTTATTTCTTTTGTTTTTGTTACGTATTTATTTGCAGCTTGTAATTAAATACTGTTTTATTTAACATTGAAATCTCGAGTTGTAATTTATCATTAACGGCCACCCGTACGGTTCACAAATCATACTTACAGCCAGAAAAAAATGTTTAAAATTTTGGACGCATAATGAGGAAAGGAGCCCTAGAGAATTTAACACTCATAAGAAATACTGAAGGCAAGAGCAGAAAAGAAGCTTTAAATACCATCCCTCTCGACACCTTGCAATGAGGTTACTCCATTATTCCCGGGACACAAGGGAATATGAGCAATTAGGGAACATGTCTAACTGCTTAAATTCAGGCAATTGACAATCAAATCTGTGGGAGGAACTTGATGAGTCATTGTTAAAAAAAATAGGAATTACAAGGAAACATACTGTCAGGTAAGAAGAAAATGGTAGCTGCCGACACCCGAGGTTCGAGTGTGATAGTTTTCCGCCAGCTGTATAAATAGCAGTGTCAGGTGACTGACTACAAGAGTTGACTATTGGTCGGACTGCAGTTGATGATTGGGTGAGTACAAGAGTGGACTACAAGTTGATTATTGGTTGATTGAGTGACTCTTGGACATTAAGCGAGCCGAAGACGAAGGTATTCACTGAATTTGTTAACAAGCTTGAGTGGCTCTTACTTCCTTTGTTTTTGTTACGTATTTATTTGCAGCTTGTAATTAAATACTGTTTTATTTAACATTGAAATCTCGAGTTTTAATTTATCATTAATGGCTACCCGTACGGGTCACAAAGCATACTTACAACCAGAAAAAATGTTTAAAATTTTGGACACATAATGAGGAAAGGAGGCATAGAGAATTTAACACTCATAAGAAAAACTGAATGCAAAAGCAGGAAAGAAACGTAAAGAAGAACTTTGGCGGACTGATTTGATTTTTTACGGCTTATCAACCTTTTGTAGGTTATTCAAAGTCAGTAAAATATTTTTTAAATTGTAACAATTCTTTAGAGATAGATAAGAATTTACTGATACAAGTCTTACTAATTCACCCATAGCAAAGGGAGAAAGGATGGGTTCATACCTTTCCTAAGGCAAATATGAGCGTAATTGTCTACAATTGGAACTCGGCTCTGTCATGGTGTTAGGAATATTGTGGTATGTTTGGGTCAATGATTGTGGCTAGCTAAGATTAATGTTAAGACAAATGAACACCCCCCACCAATTCACCATGTTGGCCTTGTGCCATACTTTGTATTAAATTGCGAAAAAAATATTGCTCTCTGATTTCCATTTCTGAACCGTTATCAATTACAGCACCTGCACATCCAAACATACAGCAGCTGGTGTTTCCAAGCGATTATCCATCTAGGTACTGACCAGGCACAGTGTTGCTTAACTTCGGTTCTTTACGAGAGGCGATATTTCAACGTAAGTCCGCCAGAGACATGAAAGCAAGCAAGGATTATATAAATATCACAAAGTGTAATATGTAAGTTGTGATAAGGAGCTGATGAAAACTGATTTCTCAACAGCAATTTTTATCGATGAGAGCTATAATGGTTAGATCTCTAAGCTGGGTTCGAATTTGGCAATTAAATTGAAATACTAAACATAACACTTTTTCTCCGGAATCTATCTTACATACGTATAGGTCTACCATTCGTCCATGGTTAGAATCTTAGAGCTCCATAAGATCCAAAGAAGAATCAGCAATATTATTGGTCCTGATTTGGGGGCTTGGCTTCAGTCACCCTCCCACCGCTGTAAAGTTGCCTCTCTTCTTTCATGGTAATTGTTTGGATGAGCTTTCAGCTATGATACCTACACTTCATGAATTGAAACGCTGTACGAGACTGACGTCGAGATCTCATCAATTGACAGTTGAGCTAGATGTAGCCGTAAGTTCTATGTTAACAGTTTCTTTACTCGCACTTCTTGTTTGTGGAACTCCCTTCCGGTTCCATGCTTTGCAGCAAACATTGGTCTGCAAACATTTAAATACAATGTCAATCTACCGTCCTCCTGATTACTCTTTTCTCTTTCCGCTCATTATTATTGTTTCTGTTCTTAATTATTCCACGCGCTTTAACCCGTTGTGTCTTAGTGGCTTTACTGCTTTGCATGGATTGACACCCGATTAAAAAATACTTAGAAGATAACAGGAGAATGCGGAGCAATGTTATCAAACTGTCAGTCAGTTATGTGCTATGCGTGATACACGCTTGGGCGATCATGTTTCTTTCGATAGGTGACTGACGAGGCAGATTGTTTTTCCTGCAGTAGGCTGCCATTTCTTTCTGCGGTAGACCAATTGCCATCCAAAGCTTTAGAACCCGGTCTGTATTGCTATTTAGCCATAGCCGAGGGGAGAAGAAGAGGTTTCATATCTTTCTTAAGGATATTAGCACGTAAGTGAATGTAATGGATACGACTGGAATTCGAACTCGGCTCCCCGATTCCTCAATCCGAGGCGCTCTCCGTAACAACATTTGTATAGTCTACAGCCCCTGGTATTCCCAAGCGGTCACCCATCTCTGTATTGACCAGGCTCGACATTACTTAACTTTGGTGATCGTACATGAAACGGTGTTACAATGTGATATTGCCCTAAGCCATAAAGAAAGAAGAGGGGAGGAGAGAGAAGGCAGATAGTGGGAGTGGAGAAGGGGAAGGAGATTAGAGGAGTAGGTGGAGGAGAACGAGAACAGGGACAAAAGAGGGATGGTAAAGAAGCAAACGTTGCTTCTAGCGACAAATTAAAGGAAGTAGTGGGTGTCCCTGGTCACCCAAAGTTCTAAAAGACATGGCAAATAAAAGTTGTATTAAGAGGACAAAATGGAGACAATGTCGCGAATTTCAAAATGGTGGAAGTTATGTAATTATTAAAGTCTTTTGTCTCTTAATACGCAAAATAATGGAAACATTGGAGATATTAAATCTGTATAAACATTTAGTAGGTTTCATTCAATTATATTTAATTTTAATCTATTTCTTATTTGTCTTGTTTTATTATGTCGTATTCGAGAACTCTTCGAATTTCCTTTTCTTCGTTTCATTTCTGATATCGCTGCTGATAGCAGACAAGGAAAGGAAACTATAAAACCTCGTACAGAAGACAATGAAGGAAAGCGAGAAGAAAGGACTAAGCATAAACTACAAAAAGACAGAATTCATGCTTATCAGCAAATGCTAATTACAGGTCGGGAATACTCAAATAAAGCAGGCACACAAATTTAAATATCTGGGAAGTTTTCAAACAGAGGACAGAAAGTGCGACAATGAGATCCAAAGACGTATCGTGATGGCTAACGATGCACTCCAAAAGCTAAGCAGAGTATTAAGAGACAGAAAAATTTGGAAACAAAGCAAAGAGTACTGAACTTTTACGTGATATCTGTCCTCGTGTATGGCAACGAATGCTGTCTAATCTCCACAAAGATGATGAAGAGACTTGAAGCAACAGAAATGTGGTTCTACAGAAAGATGCTGAGGATACCATAGACTGAACATGTGAGCAACGACGAGGTTTCGAAGCGAATGGAAATAGAAAGGAAATTCATAGTTAACACTAGGAAGAGACAGTTGAAATTTCTGGTGCACGTAATGAGGAAAAAAGGGCTTGTAAAATCTGATTTTCACGTGACAGTTTGAGGGCAAGAGAGACAGAGTAAAGCAGTGCATAACATACTTGATGAGCTTGAGCAAATAGATGGCGGAACAGGGTTTGGGAGAAATAAGCTACAATGGACAGACAGGAGGAGGTGGAGGGCCATGATCGCCTATGTTCTGGAGGGAGACAGCACGTAAAAGGAGTTCTCTCTGCCTTTTGATTTCTCTTTAACGTACTTTATCGAATCCCTTTTGATTTTGTTTTCATTTTAATGCTGACGACTCTTTATTTAACTGCATATCATTCTTTGACAGTGTTCCTGGTGCTATACTTTTTTTCCCTTATGTAATGTTCAGATTCTTAACAGGCTTATTTTCAGTTTTTCCCCATCGCTATTAATTTTCTTTCTTCCTTTCCTTGGTTCTATTTCTCAGTTACGCTATCGTTCTTTGGTTATTTCCATTGTCTTCATGGTTCGATATTTTCATTTTCTTCCTATTGTTTACTTTTCATTTGCTCCTAAACATTGTTTTCATTTTTTCAAGTAGATGTGATTTTCAATTCTTCTTCTTCTTCTTCTTCTTCTTCTTCTTCTTCTTCTTCTTCTTCTTCCCCCTATGTTTTCTATTTCTATTGATTTTTCTCTTCTATCTTCTTTCCGCTATCGTTCTTCTTCCCTCTCTCCTTTATATTCTCTTATCTCTTTCTGCATTATATTTTCCGACTTCAATTCAACACCAACTTTCTCTGCCCTTTTTGTTCCTTTTCGATGTACCCTCTCCTTCTTCTTCTCCTTCTTCTTCCTCCTCCTCCTCTTTCTTCTTCTTTACGTTTTGTTTCTCATTTTTTAGCTTCATATTCCCTTCTCTTATCCTTTGTTGGGATTAATTTTTCTCCTTTTCTCATTCGCACATTATCTTTTTTGTCTTTCCTCCCTCTTATTCGCGCATTTCATTTTTGATTAAGATCCTATTGTCTATTCTTCTTTTTCTTCTTTTTATCGTTGTTTTCTTCATCATCTGTAAAGATATTTTCTTCTTTATATTTTCTTCAATGTTATTATACGACATTTTCTCTTCATCTTTTTCTTCTTCCTTTCCTCCACCTTCTTTAAGGATTAATTTTTTCCTCTATATTTTTGCTACTCAGCCTTTTTCTGATTTTCTTTCTATATTCATTTACTTCATTCTCATTAATAATCTGCTTTCATTTATATTTTATCATATATTTCTTCTTCTTCTTCTTCTTCTTCTTCTTCTTCTATACCTCATCCTTTCTTCTTCTTCATCGAGACCCCTCTTTCTTCTTCGCTTTTTGCACAGCTTCTTCTTCTTCTTCTTCTTCTTCTTCTTCTTCTTCTTCTTCTTCTTCTTCTTCTTCTTCTTCTTCTTCTTCTTCTTCTTCTTCTTCTTCTTAATCTGCGCCGCTTCTTGTTGTTCTTCTATGCCCCCGTCTTCTTCTTCGCCTTCTGCACCGCTTCTTTTTCCTCCTCTTCTTCTTCTTCTTCTTCTTCTTCTTCTTCTTCTATGTTCCTTCCTTGTTTTTATTCTTCATCGAGGCCTCTCTTTCTTCTTCTTCTTCTGCACCGTTTCTTCTTCTTCTTCTTCTTCTTCTTCTTCTTCTTCTTCTTCTTCTTCCCCTTTTAATTTATTTACATATATTCCCTTCTCTCTCTCTCTCTCTTTCCTCGGCGATTCCTGTCATTAACTAGTTGTTTCATTCACGCCTCTACGCCTGTCCCCGCCAATCAGAAATTCCACAAACGCTCGCTTTTCGGAAAGAACCAAAAGACAGCCGAAAACGCTAAAAGAATGGAAAAATTAAAAATGTGATGAATAAAAGGCAATGTAGCATAATTGGATATTTGGTTGAAGAGGTCGTTAACATACTTGTTGAGGGCTTTGCGAGATACTCGAAGAAAACGAACCCTACACCAACTGACCCGAATAATGCCTAAACACAACAGCAAATTTATGATTTTTTATGGCACATTGATATGAATATGAGTCATGAAATTCCAAGCATTGTTTCCTTGTTTATTGATTTTAAAAAAAAACAAACTGTTACTTATACAACAATTAGCAAAAAAGAATGACATTTTAAATAATACAGCGATTTCTTTGGCTTTTTTTTTACGGACCAACAAACGTCAAAGGTTTTCTGTGTTTCTTTCATTCCTTTCTTAACTTTATTATATAAATTCTTTTGTTATCTGAATAATATATGACGGGCGTCTTTGTGCAATGTGGAGTTTCAATAACGATATAATTATGCGTTATATATTTTCCAGTGATGCCATATTAGACCATTATTTTATATAACAAAGCAACGTCTAAAATATCTTAGAGCTAGAAAAACAAATATGATTGGTCTTATGAGCAACGGACATCTATAAAAGATTTTAGGTGAATTACTCGGCAGGCAATATTGTAGAAACTGTATATCTGCTCTGAGATCATTCATAGCGCGACAATGGCAAGAAAACCTTTGCATGGCTTGAGGAAATTTGTTGTCATCCCATTCGTACTGACACCATCCAGATATTACTATTGAAAAGTCATAAGGAATAAACTCGTAACATTATTTATACAATGAATGTTTTATTCAGGTGACTGACTTGTTATTGCCCTCATCATTTCCCGGTATATTTGACATTCAGTATTCTTAACACGGTTTTGAATCGTTGAAACGTAAGTTGAAGTCAAAGCAGCATATATTGGAAAACGGTAGTAACGTCTCAAGTTATAAGAAGTATATAATGAAACGAACGTTTATAATAAGCCAAGCTCCAGTAGGCGCTCAACATCAAATGGCAGGACCGACACATCAACATTGAATCCGTTTGATTCGATGCTTGTTGATAGCGGCTTCAATGCTTGTTGATAGCGGCTTCAATGCTCGCTATTTCTGAGCGTTAGAAGACTTCGTTGTTGGTGCGTCAGTCTTGCCAGTTGATGGTCTTGGCTGGAGCTTGCGGGCCTGGCGTTGCCTTCTATTTACTTCCACTTTGGTCTTAAAAACTACAACTAGCATTAAAAGAGTTTTCCAGTCTTCGGATAAAAGATATAGTGATATAAAATCGGATAGTCCTGAGAACTTTCCTTTCAGATAGGGCTTGCCAGTATCGCAGTGGTCGCATCAGTCATCAGCAGTCAACGCTGCAAAGAGATTGCCTTTGCAGATTGGTATTTTATTTTAAAAACGATTCTTCTTTTTTATAATATAGACTTTCTTTGGTAAGGAAGAAAAAAATACTGAGCTGTTACGTGACATCTGTCCTTCTTTACGTTGGACGATTTGTTCAAAGATGAAGAATAGACTCAAGGCGACGGAGATGTGGTTCTACAGAAGGATGCTAAGCATATCATGGACCAAGCGTGTGAGCAACGATGAGGTCTTAGAGAGTTTTCAAAGAAGGAGGAGGCTTACACTTAACATCAGACTTCCTTTACAGCTAGCTCGTCAACGGCATACGATACCGCGTCACCCCAAATCGCAGATTTAAAGACCAACTGAAGTCTTCTCTCCTTCAATCAGGAATTAGTTCTAACATTTCGGCAACAGAAGCCGCCGATCGACCGTCCATCCTGGCTAAGGACAATTCATTTCGTTTTTTTTTTCCACTTTCGAAGAGAGGAGAAAGGCTGAAGCGGAAATTAAAAGAATGCAACACAGAGCCCAGCACCTTCACACAAGACCATCACCCGCTTTACTATGTAACCAATTCCCGACTTGGCCTCCAGAGCCATGTCAAGTTCAACTATCGTGGAGGCACTGGATGAATCAAATTCGGACACTAGTGGTGCCGACGACGATCAGTGGAGAAAAAGTTGATTGGAAGTGGTCAGGACATGTCATCCGAATGGAATCTTCAAGACTTCCTCGAACTATCCTATACAGCTAGCTCGTCGAACGGCATCGTGGAATCCCAAAGTCAAGCTGAAGTCTTCCCTCCTTCAAGCCGGAATCAGCCCTAACACTTGAGCAACAGAAGCCG